GGGAGCTTCCAGTGCTCTGCATGGTATAAAGAGGAATTTCCTTTTGTAGAAACATAGGAAAAACTTACTCCACTTGGATCTTTAGAAAGGCAATCAGAATTCCTTTCGTAATCTGAATTTAAAATTTTAATATCGAAGACCAGATTCCAAGTGATGATGAAACATAATGCTTATAGCATCAATTAGATATGGAATTTCCAATTGGGGTTTCGGTATTTCTAAAATGTAAAATCCTCTTAAGTATTGATCGTTGGTTGATAGAAAGAATAGTGGACATGTTCCACAATTTTATGGTCCTTTTCCCATTATAGACATATAAGCAAAGCCGCTTATCAATTGGTTGGAGCTGTATGTAACTGCATGTCTCAGTTGCAGTTGGCTCTGGCTGCAACTTTCAACCATGTCCTTTACAACACTTGAGCTATCAGCTAGATCTCTACATCCATCAAGCAACTATTTTGGGTGTATGACTATCTAATCTACCATCTTCAGAAGATTATGAAGTTCTTATTTAGTGGGATAGCAATTTGGGAGTTATTTGCTTGGATAAATAAACAGCTCCCTATGTTCCACTTGACGAAGACACAGTGAAATTTTGGGTTGGAGATAGTGAAAGAAAATCCTCAGACTCTAATATGTTTCACTTGTAATCTTTCCGCTTGAGTTGTTATAGTTATGTATGTGGGTAGTGTATTGAGTGAGGGTAGGGAGGTCAGGGAGTCTGTTTGGGAGATCGAAGTATTAATAGGGAAACTGTAGGAGGGAGGGAGATTTGACCGTTAGTTGAAAATGAACTTTTGAGAGTCATCGGTGAAGAGTGAGAGGCCCAGACCTCTCATAAAGCTTGGGAACTCTTGCTTGCAACTAGACTCCAAGTTGATGAAAATGAATCTTGCTTGCTCAGACCTCTCATGGTGTTCAACAAGTCATTTTCGTTTTGTTTGCAAATTAGCTTGATTATATTGTCCTAAATTGATGAAAAATCATTTTGTGCCTGCACGCACTTGTTTTATTCTCTTAAAATCTCTACCTTTTTGAGTTCATATTTATTATGTATTCTTTTGTTTGTTTTATTGAGTGTGAGAACAAAATTTTTGCAAGCTAATATTTAGTAGGTCTACTTGATGAAATGTTTGATATTTAAAAAAAAAAAAAGAACAAGAGTCTATATTTGGAAAAGCCTAGACAAAATAACAGCCTTGGAACGAACTACAAGAGTATTCCTATCGTAATTGCTTGATGATCGATGTTGGTTTGTTTTCCTATCAATTGGGAGATGCTAAAGAAGTAAATATTGATTGTATGCATGGTGTCAGTTGTAACTTAATATAGTATCCCAATTTGGGTGAAAAACTTAATTTATGTATTATGCCATATTCTTTTTTCTTTTTCCTTTAGGGTTTGTACAACCATTTAATTTAGAAGCGTTCTTGTCTGATCAAAATTTGACTGTTTTAAAGATGCTTATATAATATGTATGTATACACAACTACATGATCATTTTAATTTTATGTTGCAGTTGTCATCATATTACAAACTTTTAATTCTAAAACCTCTGTTTTTACATTTGTTTCTTGTGAAAAAAGAAAAAACCCCTCTGTTCCTTGTAACAAGTAAAGACAGATAAAAACCTTACTTCTGAACTTACGTGAAATGAGTTTCATTTGTAGGCTTCTTGCACTTGGGACACACTTTGCGACCAGAATGATTCATCGATATGGGATGGCTGAGTTCAAGAGAAATGCTACTACTTTTAATGACTTTAGTAGCGGCCAAGAAATTTCCATTCTCCCGCATCTTCCTTTTCAAAAGCAAAATGTATCGGAGCATTCAAGAAAACTTCATGAGATGTCTCACTTTTTGGAGATAATAAGAAATCTGCACGGCCATCTTAGTTCGAAATTCAAGAGGCCAAGTCAGGAATTGGTATGTTTATATTGATATTATGTGAATTTATATTCATTGAAGCAGTAATAATTTATTTGAACATTGGATTCTATAGGTCGTGGGGGAGGAATCTGACCAAACCAGTCTATTGCTGGATGAACCACAGCTTGTTTCTACAGATATAATACCATTGGGGAGTACAAGTCAATATGAACTGTCATTTCCTTCAAATGATTTGAACTCTAACGTTGTAGATGGTCTTGCTATCATGCCCATGGTTTCCGGATCCCAGTTCAATTCAGAAGATTTAGATGAAGACTCGGCTGTTGTACCACAAGGAGTCCTGGAAAAGAAAGTTGTTCCCTTGGAGAATCCTAACCAGATGATTGCACGTTGGAAGTCAGATAAGTTGCCACTTAAAAATGTGGTTAAAGATGCTCTTCTCTCTGGCCGTCTTCCTTTGGCTGTTCTTCAACTACACATAAATCATTTGAGAGAATTAATTGAAGAGAACGAACCTCATGATACATTTTCTGAAATTCGTGACATTGGAAGAGCTATTGCTTATGATCTCTTCTTAAAGGTAGTTTCAGTAACTTTTCTCCTGTTTGTGTATCCATATTTTCTTAACAGCATGTTTATGTGTTGTACAGGGTGAGACTGGGCTTGCCATTGCTACGCTGCAGAGGCTTGGAGATGACATTGAAGTTAGCCTCAAGCAATTGTTGTATGGTACAATTAACAGATCTTTTCGAGTAGAAATTGCTGCGGAGATGAAAAAATATGGTTATCTGGGGCCATTTGACCAGAGGATGATGGATAGAATATTACATATTGAGGTATCGATCACTTTTGTTGCGTCCATTTTGAGTCAGTTCAAATTAAAATCTTAATTCTTTTTTATCCATTTGGAACTAAAGTATGCTCTTTTCTGCACTTCTTTATAAATGGGGGAATGGATTAGAGGCTCTACCCAAGCAGTAATTTCTGGAAAACATTTCTGAGCAGGCAGAAAGCAAATATGGGATTCCCATCAAGTTCTAACAGCCCAGGAGAAAATGAATTGAGGACATTACGTTTCCATTTAATCAACAATACTTTCATTGATTGTGGTGAGGTTGATGGTGTGGTTTTAGGTTCGTGGCCCAATGCCAATGAGAGCTCTTCTGTCGTGGAGACCACTGAAGATAATGCTCATATAGGATATTGGGCTGCCGCTGCCATTTGGACAAACACGTGGGATCAGCGAACAACTGATCGTGTAAGTCATGTTTAACTTCTCTGGTACAACCACCTGTTTTATCTGAACCCGATTACTTGGAAACAATGAATCTGCATTAATATTTCCTTGCTTGAAAATCTGTTTGCAAGAATTAATGGATAGTGATCGGGTATATAGGTTTCCTGTGGCTACTGCACTAATATTGAATTGGCTGCCACGATTCAGCTTTTAGTTATTGGGTGATTAATTTTGGGAGCTAAATAAGTTCTAAATAAGTCTCTTGCACCTTATGCTTTCATGTATCAAATGTAAAGGATTACACAGTTGCTTTCGTATATAATTCATGCAGTTCATTTAAGGTTTTTTTTTTTAATTTATAAAAATTTAATAAAAAGAAACAAACTTTTAGATGAAAATTTAATATATCCACTCTAACCTACAGCCGACTGGATTACAGCCAATTTGAGAGGACCAAGCTTTGCTTCTCTCTCAGAATCTTTTGCTACTTGTACCCCCCGTCTAGAACAACCTAGTCTTGTCTAGTCATAATTTCATAGACCTATGGAGGTTACAATCCCGAATATGTAGTTTGTGGAAGCTACATGAGTCGCATTCATCTTTTTACCCCTCCCAGAATATACTTTTATAATTGGTGGTCTAACTGATAGCTGAGCTACAATCTTACACTTGTAAGTGAACAGCAAAGGACAGCAAAAGAAGGGAAAATAACATCAAGACTCCCTTGCATCCCCCTTTATCCTAAGATCCATAAGTTATGTAAACGAGCCCCGCAGTGTACCTGAATCTTCGTTTCAGTGCCTAATATTGATATTGGAGCGCCTATCTGATGAAGCTTGTAGGAATTGGTGTTCTTGTCATGGCTCAGGCTCTATTGCCAGCCTGTGTCTAGTCTTCTCTTTTGTTTTTCACTTCTTCTACTGCTGTGGTTTAAACTGTACCATCTAGGTCCATTTATATCTCTGATAAAAAATCATAGACTGCATGAGTTTCGCTCCTCTCCTTTCTTATCACCCCCACACCTGTACCCAAATATGGTCAGGTTGATCCACTTTGTTTTTGTTGTCCAGTTGCGTTTGATGTGGGATATTAATTGGTTTATATTACATCTTTCTTTGTACAGATATTACTGGATCAATCTTTGGGTAATGGTATCCATGTAGCATGGGAATCTCAACTTGATTACCATATATGCCATAATAACTGGGATGGAGTATCAAGACTTCTCGATATGATTCCTGATGCTAATATTTTGGATGGGAGCCTCCAAGTAAGCTTAGATGGTCTACAGTCAGCTTCAGCAGTTGGGTGCAACAGAGAGTCTACTTTTTACAGCAATTACTTGTATCCTCTAGAAGAGTTAGATGCTGTTTGCTTGTACATTCCCAACGTCAAAATTTTCAAATTTTCAGCTAATATTATGTGCTCCAAATTGTTGGGTATGCTCTTGGAGGAGAAGCTTGCAAGGCATTTTATATTTCTGAAGGAATATTGGGAAGGCTCAATGGAGCTGGTACCTCTTCTTGCCCGTTCTGGCTTCATTATACACAGACTTGATGAGATTGCTTCTATGGATGACCACATCAGCAGTTCAGTTGATCAAAGATCTTCAAACAAGGGCGGGGCATATTCTGTTGATTCTGTGCAAGCATTGTATAAAGTTTTCATACATCACTGTTCACAGTATAACTTGCCTTTTCTTCTCGACCTTTATCTGGACCATCAGAAACTGGTTATTGATAATAATTCAGTTCATTCACTACTGGAAGCTGCTGTAAGTATCAACACATTCAGTCAGTGTGGCTTCTTATTTCTATATTTCCTGATTTTATTTAATAGCCATCATTCATCTTTCGTCTGTTGCTTCTTACATATTTGAAGTAGCTTATGTGAGTGAGTGAGTTTGACAGTTTAAGGGATGAGTTCGTAGCAAGTGAAGAGTCAGATAAATGAGGGAAATTTTTGTGGGATTCATGTTGATCTTGGCTCGAGCCAGCTAAGCCCAATTTATTGTATTTTTCATTTGCTTTATTTTATATTTACCCTACAAGTTACTCTTTTTGCTTTAGATACTTCTGTTTTGAGTCCTTTTTGACAATAGAACATGGAGTCTGGGTAATTGACAAAAGTAGCAGAAAATAAACTGTAGAATAGACTCACAACCTATTTTTAGAAACACAAAAAGATTAACCTTCTGTCGTTATCACAATTAGGTAATTTCTTTTGAAGGCTATGTTTGTGGTTATTTTTAATGAAATACGTATTTGACAATATTTTAGATTACTAAGCAGCCCACTCAAATTTCCCTCCCTTCAGCATAGTGCTAAAGTCTTGCCGAGATATCCCAGGAATACAATTTCTGTTTACATGAAGCTGGAATGCTGGCATTTTAGTCATTTTGGTGGGACCATCAGTTGTCTTATATTCCTGTTCAACTTCTACACCTTACATAAATTTTTTTTTTTTAAAAAAAGAAAATTTCTTTGCATTGAATGTATTTTACGTTTGTTGTTAATTATGGTGAGTCACGTTAGGTTGCTTCTGAGACAATGTGCCTCACTCACAGAGGCGAACTTATTACTATTTTCCTCATGACCTTAATATATCAAACATTCCTTCGAGTATCCTTTGATTTTGCCTATTAACACTTTAAAATTTAGTTTGTATGCTCGTCTTTTGCCCTCTATTCTTATGGTGTGCTGATGTAGGGAGATTGTCATTGGGCAAGATGGCTACTTCTGTCGAGGATCAGGGGCTGCGAATATGATGCATCATTTTCTAATGCTCGCTCAATAATGCCACTGAATTTAGTTCATGATCCCAACCTCAGTGTTCGGAATATTGAAGAGATTATTTCCACTGTTGCTGACATTGCTGAAGGTGGGGGAGAAATGGCAGCCTTAGCAACTCTAATGTATGCTCCGTCCCCAATCCAAGATTGTTTAAATAGCAGTGGTGTAAACAGACATAGTAGCTCGTCAGCCCAATGTACTCTTGAAAACCTCAGGCCAGTCCTGCAACGATTCCCTACATTGTGCCGTGCCCTAGTTACATCGGCTTTCCAGCAAGATACAACTTGCAATTTTTTGGGTCCAAAATGGAAGAATGGTTAGCTTCTCCTCCATTTTGAACTTCTTGTGCTGAAGCTTTATTGTAATTTTCACTCTCTGTCATTATTTCTGCACTTGAGTGTTTAATCAGTTCATAATTCATTGTTTCTGCATTTCAGCGTTATCTGAATATCTACATTGGCGTAACAGCACCATTTTTTCTGCTGGACGTGATACTTCACTTTTACATATGCTACCATGCTGGTTTCCCAATGCAGTTCGGAGATTGCTTCATCTCTATGTCCAGGTTTCATTCTCTATCCTTTTAACAACCCATGCATTTTGTCATCATTCTGAACTAAATGGTTCATTGAATTAACAGACAGTAGATTAGAAATGTATCCACTTTTTAAATTTTACTGGAGATTAGAATGGATGGACTTTGAATGCTTACTACTCCTTTCCATAGACACTTAACCACTTGATGATCTTTCTTGTACTCCACACTATTCAAAATAAAATGCGTCAGTCCACTTGCTATCCACAGAAGGGTTGGACAAGCTTTGAACCATAGAACCTTCTTATGTTCATTGAATATTCATTTCTATCCACACTATTTCTTTGTATTAGCACTCTTCACTCAAGTGAATTATAAAATTTTCTTTTTTCTGAAATCAATCATTAGCCTTTTGTCATATGGCTAGCTGGCTCCTGTTTTATACGCAAGATTAGCTACTCATTTAAGTTAATAAACAGCTTGTTAGACAGCTGTTCAACTGAACTAACAACTAGCGATGCAGTTATGATAATCGAAATGGTGTTACAGTTCAGTTAGCGTCCTGCAGCAAATTACCCTAAGATTTAGGGATGTTACTTCTAACAGTCGAGGCTCAGATTTTTGTATATGCTTTATGTTTGTGCAAATTCTATCACAGGGTCCTCTTGGATGGCAATCAATTTCAGGTTTGCCAACGGGGCAAGCATTATGGGAGAGGGATGTATATTTTTTTATGAATGATGATGAACATTCTGAAATCAGTCCAATCTCTTGGGAAGCAGCCATACAGAAGCACATTGAAGATGAACTATATGATTCATCTCTCAAGGTATGTCCAACTGTAGGTTATATGTATATTCTTTGAATTTCTCGGCAGCTACTTCAGTAATTGGCCTTTATTTTCCCTTTTGAACTTATACAAGATTTCTTAACCTTATATGGTTCTTATTCAACGAATTTTCTCAATTGTTTTCTCTTTGTTATCACGCAAAGTAGAAAGAAGTATTTTGTTGAGGGAAGCATTTATTCCATATGAAAGTGCTCCCTTATCTCCCCTGGCTATATGATAAATTTTGAAAAATATTGTAAAATAGATTCCTAATTCTCAACTGCACTGCTTATTACTATCTGGCAATGTGAATTAGGAATCTTCTTGCTTTACAGTATATTTCAAAATTTATCATGTGCCAGGGGAGATAAGGGAACACTTTCGTAAGGTATTGTTTCCTCCCAATTATTGAGAATAGATGATTGTCATTGCCTGTTTATATAAAGATACCATATATGTTGTGTTATCTGGTAGTTGGAAGTTTTATTTGTTAAATGTCTTACATTAATGTGCTGTTTTTATCCAAAAATATTACTAGTGATTGTAAAAAGCTCAAGAGAGTCCTGTGGATTTCCTAAAACTTCCCTAACATCTAACCATTATCGATGAAGGGTGAAACAGATTCTATTTCTTTTCTGTTTACATGATGCATTTTGTCTCTCAGATAAACTCTCGATCATTAAACTTGTACACGATTAGTAATTGTTGAAAAACAATTGATGATGTTTATGGGTGCAGATCCCTTGATAAAACCCCCATACATTGCAGGTGTCATGATGCTTTTACATTGCCCAAAGAATTAAACTGCCTAGCTCATCCATCAAAATCATATTAAATGTCTTAGTTATCTTGACAGATCCTCAATCTCGCCAATCTTGTTTATTTTTTCTGTTATATTATTTTACGGTTTACTATCTCATCTAATACACGTTGCCACATTTTGTAATGCGGAGTCTATCAGTATATAATTGTTGGCGTTATTGGTAGACGCATGTGTGCTTCCTTTAAGCCATACACTCAGCTCAGCTAATCTATTGCCTTTAGGAAACTGGACTTGGGCTTGAGCACAACTTGCATCGTGGACGTGCATTATCAGCTTTTAATCATCTTCTTGTTGCTAGAGTTCAGAAATTGAAATCAGAGATTCAGTCAGGTTCAGCAATTGGACAATCAAATATACAGTTGGATCTACAGACACTTTTTGCGCCTTTGACACCAACGGAACAATCTCTTCTTTCTTCGGTAAGGATTTATTATTATTTTCTTTTCCGTTATAATAGGCAATGATTATTATTGTAACACAGCAATCAAACACTAAGGGGATAAGGTAAATGTCAAAACTACAAAAAAAGAACATCATGGAGGACAGAAAGGATCAAAAGAAGTGTCAAAATCTAAAGATACAAAATTGTTTGATCAATAAATAAGTGAAATATTTAATTCTTTTCTAAGTGACTTCAACATCGTCAACTTTTGACTTAAACATTCTCATATTACGTTTTTTTTAATAAAAGAAACAAGCTTAAAGCATTAGCACAAAGCAGAGCAAAGAGAACAGTCTAAGAGGCAGGGGAAGAGAAAACCCCCACCCAAAAGCTCATATTTCTTTTCAATTGATAAATAATCTAACGATTATGAAAATGACATGTTTTCAGAAAGTTCTCTTTCTGGGCATCCTTCCAAAGAAAAGCATTCCAACTTAATGATCAATAAATCTTTGTAAGATGTTGCACACTGGAAGGATGATTCAAACTGCAACTTGTGGAAGTCGTTACAATGAAACAAAATGGTTTGCCGATTCTCTACTTATGCTCAAATGACTCACTGAGGTCCTTAATCATTTTTTCAATGATCCAATCCAATACCATTTTACTTAATTTTCTTATAAAACCATCTTTCTCTAATCTTTTTACTTGTCCTTCACTTTTTCTTTATTGTTATCTGATAACTGCTACATCCATGATTTCTTTTCATTATTATTTTGCCTTTTCGTTTGGCCCTCCCAAGAGTCCCCTTATCGTCGAGAGTTATTTTAAAATCAAGGATCCACTCTCCTCGAGATGAAGGAAAGACTGATAGCTTATTTGATGTGCATAGAATCTTTCAAACTTGCTTTAGGACTATAGGTAACCAATCAAAATCTATGCTGGTCTGATTAATTATGTTCCTAGGAGAGCAGGAGGATTTAAACAGCAGATTTCAATCTCCTTGGGAAATTGACCTATAAATTATTGGGCATATTCCTTTTTGGGGTAACACTAGATCTATCCATTCCTGGACTAGGTTGCTAAAATTTCCAACCAGCTTACTCACCTCTGACAACTACAGGCTCCTTCCAGTCATTCTAATATTCATAAAATTTCCTTGACAAATAGTTGACTCAATTAATTATGCAAAGTTTAACTGTTTTACTTGAGTTTGTAAAAATTTCTCCACACTTGATTTTCAGGTTATTCCACTTGCCATTACGCATTTTGAGAACTCCGTGTTAGTTGCCTCATGTGCTTTTCTCCTGGAGCTAGGTGGTTTGTCTGCCAGTATGCTCCGTGTAGATGTAGCAGCTTTAAGACGAATATCGACATTTTACAAGTCTGGGCAATCCTTTGAGAATTTCAGGCAACTTTCACCTAAGGGTTCTGCTTTTCACCCAGTACCCTTGGAATCTGATAAAATAGAGACTCTTGCTCGAGCTCTGGCTGATGAGTATCTGCACCAGGAAAGCTCAAGT